ACCTCTCACCTGGGGCTGGTCAGCCCCACGGACGCCTCCTCAGCCTCCAGGGGCCTTCACTCCGACGCGGGCTTCGAGGCCCAAACCAAGTGTCCGACAGACGTCAACTCGGGCAGTTGGCCAGCCGGGGAGTCCGCCGAGTCCTGCCGGTTCTCGAGACAGGTGACTTGCAGCATCAAGAAGGTGCAGATCAACAGGAATCCGGGCCTGCCCGCTGTGCTGCTGACCAGGAGGATGGACATCTCCCTAAATGCCACCCTTCAGTACGACTGCCCGGTGGCTCACGCCGCTCAGTCTAACTGGAAGGTCTTCTCTGTGCCCTCTCTCCGCCACCAGCCGGACTGGACGAAACCTCTGGTGGTGCCCGGCTTCCAGTTAGGGAACGATCCAACAGTCATGCACATCCCCAAGAAAACGTTATCTTTGGGGGTGTACGTGTTCAATTTCTCAGTGATCCTGGTCCCCTCCTGGCCACAAGCGGCGGTGGACAAAGGCTCAGATAGCATCTACGTCTCGATCCTTAGTGACTTGCTGCAGGCGGTTCTTCTTGGGGAGGTCAACAAGACAATTAAGTTCACAGACCAGCTGGTTCTGGACGGATCAACGTCCATGGACCCAGATGTAGACGACCCTTTAGAGGGAGTCCAGTTCTCCTGGTTCTGCACCACAAATTCCAAGAACTACAACGGAGACAAAATAAACGTGATAAGCAAGGAAGTTTGCCTCCCAAAGCAGGTGGATCTCAAGCTGACCTGGGCCTCTGACCCTGTACTGACAATTTCCCCAGAAACACTTAGAGGGGGCCACGTGTATTTTTTCAGAATGGTGATACAGAAGGCTCCCAGATCCGCATATTCTGATAAAAGGGTCCACGTGCTCCAAGCACCGGCACCGAAAGCAAGTATTTCGTGTATCGAAAACTGTGGCAGGATCTTGGTTCTATCAGATCGGTTCTCTCTGTCTCTGAATTGCCCCGATTGTGCCAGAAGCCGGGAAGTGTACAAGTGGTCCATCCTGCGGGCTTCAGGGGATGAGGTGGCATTTGATTGGTTGGGGCAAACTTCAACGGGGAGGGACAGCGATTCTTTGTCTATAAAGGCTTTTGCTTTTAGGAATTTTTCTGAAGCTCAGTTCTGGATTGCTTTAGATCTAGAAACTTGGGGTGGAGTGAACTTGAACCTCAGGCATTCCTTTACTGTTAACTATGCCCCTGCCATTGGAGATTGCAAAATTAACCCAACTAGTGGGATTGCCTTTTTTACTAAGTTTGTTGTCCAGTGTAATAATTTTAAGGATCAGAACATCCCTCTGACATATAAAATGATCGTGTCTGATTTGTACGATGGCTTTGGCGAAATCAGTTCTTTAACAGAGAACACCTTGGGGCCCATCCTGTATGTGGGCAATGATCCCAAATGCCCCCCTTCCTTTCTCCCTGTCGGTGGGGGGGACAGTCATTACTCCTTGAAGGTCTTAGTCCAGGTGTATGACGCTCTGAAAGCTTTTTCTCAGGTGACTTTTTACGCCACTGTACAAGCTCCCACGGCCCAAGCCTCCCCCCAGGCCATACTGACTCAGTTAGTCAATTTCACCTCGGGTCAAAATTCAGAGATCTCTACTTTGCTTCAAAAGCAGGAGTTTTTGTTCGCTGGTTACTTAGTGTACGTAGTGGCCTCCGTTCTGAACAGCATGAAACCCGAACCAGCCCTGCAGGCGGACAAAGCCTGGCTCCAGGAACACCTGGTCAACCAGTCTTCCCTCCTCCCCATGAACACCCTGATGGAAATTAACCAGGTGGTCACGGTGTTTGCCAAATTAACCCAGAGAACGTCTGAATTTCCTCAGCTTGCTCGGCAATCTGCCACAGAGAGGATTTGGCAAGCAAATCAAGCCTTCCAGCAGCATCAGCAGAAAGGCAAAAACTTGCACTCTGAGCAGATAGAGACCATGAGCACCGGGATCTTAACAAGCGTGTCGAACATCCTTAAAATGACTGATCCTCACATAATTTTTGTCGACCCTTTCCGGCTCATACAGTCTCTAGCAGACACGATCCTGGCCGGCAAAGTGCCGGATTATGAGAGCACCGTGATGAGCTCCGCCAGCTTTACCATGTACGCCAGCAAGCTGGAAAAGGGGGCTGTTTCCAACAACATCTTGGGCAACAAAAGACACTGTCGAAATTGTTTCCAACCAGCACTAAATGTGAGCAGCATTCCTCGTCTGTCTGCCAATGCTCCTGTTTCTGTGGTGTTTTGTGAGTTTGCAGACGACCCCTTCCCTTGGTTAAATTACCAGGACAGCCTTGCGGCAGATGTGGTTGGATTCAGATTGACGGGAATCGCGGCCAACGGTGACAAGCTGGAGCTCACCCCCGATGTAGTGGACGTGTACATCAGCAGGAGGAACCTGAGCTCTGCAGCTTTCAACCTCACCGTGGGCCCTGACCACGAGCCTGATAACGCTGACGCGTCCTCCAGGATGACGACGGGGGCGTTCCGCTTCGAAGTGGACAGCCGTGCGGTGCGGGAGCTGCTGGTTCACATCGTGACGGAGGTGACCGTGCAGTTCACTGTGCTGGTGTACGCCGGCGGGCAGATCACCCCCTCCGCCTTGGTCGCCACCTTCCTTGTGCCCCACGGTATCCCTCCCATTGCCAACCAGAGTGGCCTGTTCGACCCGGCCTGTGCAGTGAGCGTGCCCCGCCTGGTTTGCCTCCCGCTGTCCCTGCTACAGGTCATAGCTCAGCGGGGCCACTCGCCTGAGTGTGTCATAATCATGGTTCTGAAGGCACCTCATTTTGTCATGCAGCCCAGTGACAAGCTGGTGAGGATTTCTCTTTTCAGTGTCCACTGCCTGGACATGTATGGGGTCCAGAGCGACTGGACAGAAGACACCTGTGTCCTCGGGGAGAAGACCACCTGGGACCGAGTGCACTGTGTCTGCAGGAAGGCCAGGCGGGCCCGGCGGCAGCTGGCCAACATTCCCTTGCACTTCCGCTACTTGACAGCCAAGGTGATCGTGCCCCCTAACCCTGTGGATCTACGGTTAGAGGTCATCAAGAATGTCACCCAGAACCCCGTGACACTCTTTGTCGTCCTTTTCATTCTGGTCACGTACATCGTCCTAGCTTTCTGGGCCTTGCACAGAGACGAAACAGACCAGTACCTTCGGGACCACGCCATGGTCCTCCCTGATAACGACCCTTACGATAACATCTGTTACCTCGTCACTGTTTTCACAGGAAGCCGTTGTGGGTCCGGCACCAGGGCCAATGTTTTTGTCCAACTTACGGGGACACAGAACACCAGCGATGTGCATTGTTTAAGTCACCCACATTTTAAAACTCTCTACCGGGGAAGCGTCCACACTTTCCTCCTAACGACCAGCAGGGACTTGGGGGACATTCAGTCTATCCGAGTGTGGCACAACAACGAGGGCCATGCCCCCGGCTGGTACTTAAGTCGAATCAAAGTGGAGAACCTGTTCAGCAGGCACATCTGGCTGTTCATGTGTCGCGAGTGGCTTTCTATCGAGACCTCTTTGGACAGAACGTTTCCCGTCACCGACCCCAATACGCCACTGCAGAGAATGGACTTCTTGCTCATCGATGCGACGGACAACCTGGGGAAGAATCACCTGTGGTTCTCCGTGTTTGCCGGCGTCATTTCCCGCGGCTTCAATCGACTGCAGCGGCTGTCCTGCTGCCTGGCCATGCTGCTGTCCACCCTCCTGTGCAACATCATGTTCTTCAACCTGGACACGGAGAAGCAAGACAAACAAGACCAAGGGAACCGATATGTCAGATCGATGATCATCGGCTTGGAGAGCGTCATGATCACCCTCCCGGTGCAGGTCATAATCACGGGGCTGTTCACCTACTCCCAGCGGAGACCGCAGGTGACCCTGGACCAGGTGACGCCTCAGGAGTACCCCGAGGTGGCAGAGGCGAGCGGCCACTGGGAGGAGCGGCTGGAGAGGTGGCACGCCCAGGAGACGGCTGCAGAGGCGCGCTCCCAAGAGGCGCGCTCCCAAGAGGTGCATGCCGAGGAGGCACGTGCCCAGGAAATGGCCGCAGAGGCACGCTCCCAAGAGGCGGATGCCCAGGAGGCGCGTGCCCAGGAGATGGCCGCAGAGGCACGCTTCCAAGAGGCGGATACCCAGGAGATGGCCGCAGAGGCGCGCTCCGAAGAGGCAAGCTCCAAAGAGGCAAGCTCCGAAGAGGCGGATGCCCAGGAGGCGGATGCCCAGGAGATGGACGCAGAGGCGCACTCCCAAGAGGCACACTCCGAAGAGGCAAGCTCTGAAGAGGCACATGCCCAGGAGGCAGGCTCCCAAGAGGCACGTGCCCAGGAGGCGCGCTCCCAGAGGGCGCGCTCCCAGAAGGCGCGCTCCCAGAGGGCGCGCTCCCAGAAGGCGCGTGCCCAGGAGACGGCCACAGAGGCGCGCTCCCAGAAGTCACGCTCCCAGAAGTCGCGCTCCCAGAAGTCACGCTCCCAGAAGTCGCGCTCCCAGAAGTCACGCTCCCAGAAGTCGCGCTCCCAGAAGTCACGCTCCCAGAAGTCGCGCTCCCAGAAGTCACGCTCCCAGAAGTCGCGCTCCCCCCAGGAGACGGCCACAGAGGCGCGCTCCCAGAAGTCACGCTCCCAGAAGTCGCGCTCCCAGAAGTCACGCTCCCAGAAGGCACGCTCCCAGAAGGCGCGCTCCCAAGAGGCGCGTGCCCAGGAGACGGCCGCAGAGGCGCGCTCCCAAGAGCCACGTGCGCAGGAGGCACGCTCCCAGAAGGCGAGCGCCCGCAAGGCCCAGCAGTCCCTCACCAGGAAGCTCACGGGACGCCATAAGTCTCTTTCCAAGAGGACGTCCAAAGCAGGGCACTCACTTAGGAAAAAAGACAGCAAGGGCCCACACCCCCCCGGCACCAACACCAACGCCAATGCCAACAACGAAAACATGAACAACAGTTCCCAAGTGCCCTCCGCACAGCCGCCACCCCCGCCCCAAGACCAAGAACCACGCGATCCATTTGTACCCCTGTCCCCGCCCACGAAGCCCAGGACCACCCTGTCTGGGTGGTGGAAGTGGATCGCGTGGTTCTTGGTCTTCGCCACTTCGGGGGTGTCCTCGTTCTTCATTGTGTTTTACGGCCTGACCTACGGCTATGAGAAGTCGATTGAGTGGCTCTTTGCATCGCTCTCTTCCTTCTTCGAGTCCGTTTTCCTGGTGCAGCCATCGAAAATTATCCTCTTCACAGGCATGCGAACCAACAGGCTCAAGTACTGCAAAAACCTCTCCTGGGTCAGCAACTTTCGCTACACCGAGATCCAGCTGCAGGACCTCAGGCTGCGCCCCGAGGAGATGCACCAGCGGCACCAGGACCTCACCCGCCTCCGAGGCAGCAGCATGTACCAGCCTCTCACGCAAGACGAAGTCGGGATATTCAGAAGGAAGAGGGCGCTCAAGAGGCGAGCTCTGCTGTTCCTGGGTCACTTCCTCACTCACTGCATCTTTCTAGCCCTTCTGCTGGGCCTCGTCGCCCTCCTCCGCCGCACGGACAGCTTCCGCTACAACCAGTTCATCCGCAGCCGCTTCTCTGTGGATCTTGCTACGGTCACCAAGCTGGATGACATCTACCCGTGGCTCCACAGCACGCTGCTGCCTTTGTTCCACAACGACCTCCACCCAACGTTTCTTCCCCACAGCTCCTCCAGCATCCTCGGCCTCCCACTGCTGAGGCAGGTGAGGGCCACGCCTGGCCCCAAGGCCTGTCGGCCGGCCAAGCGCTTTCCGCCCAACAGCATCAAAGGAGAGATTCGCTGCCATCCCGAGTACGGGGCCGACCCAGAGGACACCAGCGACCACCCCAGCTTCTGGAAGAAAGTTGCTAAGCGGGAGGCAGACAAGAACACCAACGGGTTTACCTATAAGCCTCCGGAGGAGAGGTGGGTGTACTACTCCTACGGACTTCTCCACACCTACGGGTCGGGGGGGTATGTTTTCTATTTCTTCCCAGACCAGCAGCAGTTTAATTCCACGCTGAGGCTCAGGGACCTCCAGAGCGGCCGCTGGCTGGACGAGAAGACGTGGGCTGTGATCCTGGAGCTGACCACGCTGAACGCGGACGCGGGGCTGCTCGGCAGCACTTCCATCCTGTTCGAGGTCTCTCAGTTAGGGGTCGTGAACGCGAGCATATCCGTGCACTCCTTCTCACTGGCGGATCTGAACAGAGACACGTCGGCAGAGGTCTACCTGTACGTGGCCATTCTCGTGTTTTTCGTGGCCTACGTGGTGTACGAGGGCTACGTCATCACGCAGAAGGGGGCCTCCTACCTGGCCAATGCGAACAACTTGTTCAACTTGGCACTCAAGTGCACCCTTGCCGTGCTGATTGTGCTGTTTCTCAGGAAATACTTCTTGGCCACGGGCATCATTCAGTTCTACTCATCGAACCCTGTGGATTTCATTCCCTTTCACGCCGTTGCGCAAGTGGACCGCACCCTGGGGGTCGTTTTGGGCCTCCTGCTGTTTCTGACCATTCTGAAGACCCTCAGGTATTTCAGGTTCTTTTACCACGTGCGCCTGGCTGAGAGGGTCCTCCAGACCGCCCTGCCTGGCATCTGCCACGTGGCGCTCCTGGTGTTCGTGTATTTCTTTCTGTTCGTGGCTTTTGGCCACCTGGTGTTCGGTCAGCATGAGTGGGGCTACAGCACCTTGATCCGCGCCACGCAGACAGTCTTCTCCTACTGCACGGCAGCCCTCCGGAACGCGGAGTTTTCCAGCAACAGGGCCCTCGGGGTCCTGCTCCTCGCGGCGTTTGTGCTGCTGCTGATCTGCGTATTGATCCACTTGTTTACGGCTGTGATCCTCTCTGCCTACAAGGCCCTGAGGCAGCCCGTGTATGAGGAACCTTCGGGCGAAGCGGAAGCCATCGCCTACCTGTGCGGCAAGCTCAGGACGGTGTTTGGCTTCCTGTGCTGCCAACCCAAGGCCCAAGAGCAGCGGGAGCTCTTCGTGGACATGCTCTACGGGAAGCCGGAGAGGCACAGCAGCCACTACCTGGGGCTGAAGACCAGGAACATCAACGAGAAGAAGATGGTGTACCTGGTGGTGTGACCGGGACAGTTTTCGGGCTGCAGGCAAGGCTCTCCCGCCTGATGTTCAGTTTAGGGGCTCCGTCATGCTGTCTGCCTGTGTCCTGCACAACGCACACCCCCACATTTGCTAGGGTTCCCACTCTCAGTCGCCACTTTTAGGAACGTGACAGGAAGGAGTATAGCACACACCCGGGGCGGGGGGTGGTGGCGCCAGACATCCTGGGATGAGCTCCCTGTAGGGGCACTGAGGGTCTTTGGAGCCCGTAGCAGTTTAGAGGGTTAGAGACCCAGGTTTGGGGGAGGGAGCTAAAGATCTCCCCCACCCCCCACACACACCTCGCTGGGAGTTCTTTTCACAGATCAGAGCTTCCTGACCCTTGTCCCCTGCAGCCCCCACATTCCAGCTGGGCCAGGGCCGGAGGGGCCTGTGGGGAGTTCTGGATGCGCCCTGAGTTTGCCATGCAGGGATGAGGAGGGTGGTCAGAAGTCTGAAGCTTCCCATCGACTCCCTAAGGCTCCTTCAAATTAAAGATGTAAAGCAGTAATATTTCCTGGCCATGAGACAGTTTTCGTTAGACAACAAGGGGCGCGTGTGGGCCCACTCTGAGCGGAGGCACCTGTTCTGTGTGTTGTACACCCAGGGTCTGGGCCTTCTGTTGTCTACGGCCTGGTGGATGGTTATTGAACAATAAAGAAAATGTGGTTTGTTTCAGAGAAACGCCTGGCAGCGGTTGTATTTCCCTCAGAAGCACGTTCCTTTGTGTAGATCCTGTATCAGAATTAAGTGTGACTTCCGGGAGGCGTGCAGGGGCTTCTGCACGAGGCACCTACACGGCTCCTGCCCTGGAAGTCAGCCTGTGGGCGCTTGGTCCCAGGTGTTCTTCACTCGCCAGGCGGCCCTGCAACCCTGGCAGGCACCTAGGAGCTCCCAGGGGCTCCTCCTGGGGGGCTGCCTGAGAGCCTGTGGCGGCTGCGGTCTTCTCTGCCAGGTAAGAAACAGAGAGGTTCAGTGGCCCCAGCACGGCTCCTCACACGGTTAAGGTCAGAGGTCAGATCTGGGTTTTCTAAGTGCCCTTTGGGGAGGTCACGGGGTTCACACTGCCCACTGCTTCTGACTGCAGGGCATGTTTGCAGTTAGCTCCTCTCTTAGCCACCTGACTTTGGACCAGGTTGAAAGACAGAGTGACGGTGGGGGAGGGGCAAACGGCTCTTTACTGATGGGGGCCAGCTTCACTCTCTGAGATGCACTTGCCCACTGAGCTGCAGGATGAGGGAGGTTCGGCCCCAGGTGAGGGTCATGCAGGGCCGGCCCCTCTGAGAGGCTTCTGAAACTGATGGCCTCTCTCCAGGCGGTCCGGAGGCCTCGGGGGCACACTAGTTGGCCTCCCTTCCCAGGAAGACAGCTCCAGGGGTGGGAGGACCCTCCTGCCCAAGTCAGCATAGTGTCTCTGGACTCTGAGGTGTGCCGCAGGAGAGGGAGTTACAGGGTCACAAACACAGGCCCAAGCGGACGGTCCTGCTGCGGAGTCCCTGGGGGTCCAGGAATGGGGCTGGTCCCAGCATGTGGTCTGAGTGAGGACCAGGATGGCGGGGGAGGTGCTGTGAGGTTTCCAGGCGAAGTCCAGCGGCGGCGGGGTCTTCCACGCCCTGGGAGAGCAGAGCAGAGGGGTCCCTGGTCGGGGAGAGCCAGGGCCAGTACTTCTTGTCCTTTAGAAACAGACGTGGAATTAGAGCTTTATCAGGGAAACGGGGACCAGGGACACAAATCAAAACTCTGAAGACCATTTTCACAGGACGTGGCCACAATTTCTAAGAGTCTTCCGGGACTCCCCTTTTCCTGTCGTATTTCCGGGAAGAGGGTAGGTATATTCCAGAACACGTTGTCCACAGCTCTAAACCAACTCCTTCCCAAGTCTGTATGGCACAAGAACACAAGACATATTCCCAATTCAGCCCCCTGTGAACACGTCTGACATGCAGAGCGCTCCCTGTGGCTCAGGGAGCCGAGCCGTGCCCTTGCTTTAAGGCCTGCTTCTGTGTGTCATACTGTTAGACATTTAGAAACTACACAACACTGAAGGCCCTTTATCCACTGGCAACAGACACAGTAGGTCCTCAAATAACATTGTTCTGCCCAACGTCATGTTGTTATAACATTGATGAGAAGAAAAATCAATTCCAATTCTGGCGGGGGCCCCTGTGCGAAGTGTGTGTGCCCCCAGGCTGGGTGGGTTTTCTCATTTCCTCCCAGGGCCGAAAATGTGCCTGGTAGGCGCCCTGGCCTGTCTCACCTGTCCGAGGCACAGTGAGTGTGGGTGAGCGTGACCGATATTCATGGTTCAACTCTAAACCTAAAGCTTCAAGGGTTTTATGGACCATTCAAGTTGCTACTCAGCAGAGTGAAGTTTCTTCCAAGTGCAATAATTAAGAACTAGCGACAAACTATGACTCAGGAGAGGCTGTGTCACATGGCGCCTCGCGGGACTGGAGGCCAGGAGTGAGGTGGGAGGTCCGGCAGCAGGGTGAGGAGAGCCTGGGAGCTGGAGGATGGAGGGGCCCAGGTCACCCAGGGCTTCGCAGGCCACTCGGGTTCCGGAGGAGCGTGGTGACATGGCGCAAGCGCACACGGCTTCACAAAGGTCCAGGTAACACCAGGGCTCGCGCAGAACCCATCACTCAGTTGCCTTACGGGGCGCACTCGGCCCTGCCTGCGGACAGGGTGCAGGAAGCTTGCATGCTCAGACCAGGACGCTCAGCCTCCGGCGCGTGGTCAGCGGCGTTGGACCTCCGCGCAGTCAGGTTATTTGCCAGGCGTGCCCCGGCGGCCTCGACTCTGCAGAACCCGGTGGAAAGCTCGGGAAGAAGCCGAGAACAGTAGAGCAGCCAGACCGCAGGCCAAGTAGGCGTCCCCGGGCCGGAGGAAGGCCAGGCCGCCCCCAAAAGCCAGGGACCAAGAGGACACAGCGGAGGCGGAAGTTCAACCAAAGCTCCCTCCCGCGCTGCGCATGCGCCCGGGCTCCTGGGACGGGGAGAGGAACCGCGCACGCGCTGTGGGCGGTCACGGAACGGGGGCGGGGCC